GCAATTTTCATACTATGCGAAAAGGTGCCAATCAAATCATAATTATATGGGACAATATGCCAGCTATATTTGTACTATACAAATAAAATCAGAAGTCATGCAATTCCACTCTAGCTTCCCACTTGCACAAGCATCCTTTGAACCTTTTAAAATAAGTAAAATAATCATCATCACAAATATTAACAATTTTAAAATTTACAGCAACAAAAACTGGATTTATTTGACAACAATAACTGTAATTATTCTTGACTACAGATTTGCTATAATTATGTGTGCAACACTGGACTAAATGCAATTGCATTTATGAAATACACCCCTAGGTGTCTCGGGGGGAGGAGGGGTTGTTTCTATTATATTATATAAACAGCATTTCAAATGCCATTCTGAGAGACAGAAATAACTATATAGTACCAATAGCCATGTTCAAATGTGATACACTTCTAAAATGCTTTATTTGAAGCCATGGTTAATAATATAAAAATATTTTGTTTGGAAATCGAGTTCAATATACGACTATGATACACCAATTTCTTTGGCCTCCAGCCAAGACAGTCTATAACCTTACACATGAATTCATGAGGCAAGTCCTTTGAAAAAAGCCACGGCCCAGTGGACGAACAAAATCACTATTCTGAACATTACCACATGGCTTAACAAAGGATACATTTTTGCACATTCCTTAAAGAAAGGATTGCTCCTTTGTACCTGAAACAGATTCAATCATTTGAGGAATTGTTTGCAATTTACTTATAGACTTAACAATCTGCAAGTCAACATGCCGAGTTCCATGGAATATTTTCAAAAGGTTGCCATTGAGGTTTTTAAATGGGAAACATGAATATGCTCAGAGAGGACCCAGATCTCAAACAGACATTGGCAAATGTTGAAGAGAATGTAGGTTCAATGTATTGGTTCGAACAATAGCGTAATAACAGTTCACTTTGTCTGATATCATCCTCTGTAATACTGTCTTTACAAAAAATAAATATGCCGTCAACAAAACTTGCATAATGAAAAAAAAATACAGAGATGGTAGCAAGTCTGCAAAGATTGGAATTGATTAAAAAAAACACAGCCAGGATCTTATCTAAGATGCTTTCCAATACTTGAAATGAGAACTGATTGCTCTTGAAATCCGAGAAATTACCGAAGGTGGTTTAATTTTTAAGAGCCGATCAAATCAAGAGAACTGGTCAAGGAATACTCTTCTGAAGAATACAAAGCGTTTTGATATACCCATCAATGCTAAATGCATATAATCTATTGCTGTACTCCTAACGTAGTCATCCCATTAAAAAAGAAGGGCATTTAATTTAATTTTTGCAGTGTTCCTGCAGCACTTGATCCATGCTATGTTTGAGGGATTCACTAGCCAATCGAGGGTTTCTAAGTGGGTACCCTTTATCATATAGAAAGACGTGAACATGTTCACTTTTGCTAGTTAACCTAGCTGTAAGCATTTTTACAGGCAAATCAGCAGTTCCATAAAGAAGGAATGCTTTGATGTTCACAGTTTTTCTTATCTATCAAAACATCAATACCAGTTGACTCAAGACTTTGTAAACTACAGTAAAGGGGGATAGAAAACTTTCCATAAATGGCTTGTGTTCTCCAAACCACAATCCAGAAGAAATCATATTGAGTCTTCTAACGGGGGGGGGGGGGGGCTCATTAATTGCCAAATACATCGGCCATATGACATATTTTGAGCTTTTAAACACCGACACTCCATCAGTATTCCACATAAATGATATATTGTATGGGTATTTGCTAGATAGTGGCCCATCATTATCTGATAAGTTGGTATATAGCTGGCCATCATAAATATCTTCAATACAGTTTTCACCTTTTTTAAGCGTGCAAATCTGTGTTTCAGTGAATTTAGTACCAATAAGATTATGCACCTGTGATTCAATAGAAATTTCCAGGAAGTAGGATTTTGATTTCACAGCTGTCAGATCGCAGAGGCATAAGCTGTTTCCATACATGGCTTGATTTATATTAACAGGTGTGACGAAAAATGTGAACAAAAGTAGTGCTTAACTAAAGGAGAGTCAATTTCTGAGAAATTATAAAGGCTCTTTAAACCAGGATGTGTCTCAAGAAAATGTAAACTAATCAATGTCATGATCAAGAGGTCTGCGAGTTGGGTTCCGCTGACAAAATGGTTCACTGTGTGCAGAAGAATTAGCAGCATGCTAACTGAAATCGACATATTATGACCTCTATAAATTGGCTTTTCCGATGTTTTATTTGTTCCAAAGCTTTGTGGAGTTCTATCACCATCATCACCACCATCACTTTTTTTATGGCATTCATCAGATTGATGGTCACAGTCTACTTGGACGGTGTGTAAATCATTCTCTGTATTTCCAGGTGGGTGTGGACATGTGATTGAAGACTGCAGCTTATCTTCCAATACATCATGTTCAGGGTAATGATTAGTGTTAGTGGTTTGTTTTTCTGGATTGCACACACCAGTCTCTAGGGTTTATGGTTGAAGCAACCTTCGGCATATAAAATGTATTATATTTTATTGGTCGTACGGCTCCTGAAGAGTTGACACGCCGTTACGATCCATTAGCCAACAGTGAAAAACATTAATAGCTTGATTAAACAATTCAAAATACTGATATAATTTAATCATCCTACAAAGTTTATTATACCGAACAATCGATCTTAGTCTACGAAGACAGCTCCTTTGACCATGTTTTCCCAAAAACAAAGTTAAAAATGTTTTGTACGATTAAATATTAGCTATTTTTCATGGTTGTTGTTACCACAATGTTCTATTGAGAGTCAAAATTCGACCGGGGGGGGGGGGGTATCACCTCTTTCTGAGAGTCTACGGCTTTGAACTTTTTTACTGTATATAGAGTACTGTATAGTCACGTTGTTTATTCATTAAAATCTCTTCTCCTCAACAACATTGCCGGTCGCTATGAAACTTAGTATATAGCTTCTACTAACCTATTAATAGCCCATTCTTCCGAAGCTGGACTTCACACTCGCAAGAACAAAAATAAATTTCAGCTTGGTGTTGTCTTCCTACAATGAATAAAACATAATTAGGTGTTGAGAAATAATGAAAAAAAAAAATATATTAAATGAAATAGTGAGAAAACTAATAAATAGATATCAATACAAGGTATAAACATTAAATACAAACCTGTTTGATCAATTATTAACCATCAATTTCCTGTAAGTTTTATGATATTTAGAGCATTCATCGTCATCAGGCATATTACAATTAACTGGCACCACAGAAGGAATACATGACCCATCTTATGTTAGAATATTGACATAAAAAATAAAATAATAAACCAAGTGTCAACCATCATTACAACTTAATCCATATCATCTGCAAAATACAGATAAAGAGAAGACACTTATAACTGATATTATTTACCTGCATACATTTATCCCAGTTTACCAATACTAGCAAACAATTTATATTAAATAACAATGGTCAAGAGGTAACAACTCAAATACTGATACCAGTAAATAGTTAAACCCTATTGATGTGATTCAACAAGGCAAGAAGCAATTGTTTTATTTAGAGGACAACCCACTATTTACTCTAGTAGTGAGCTTACTTAATTTACAGAGGTGTTTCTATGGTCAAAATGTACTAATACATTAAAGAAACAAATGTATAATACCTTCCACTGCTCACAGACATGAAGCTGCACAACTGAATGAACATTAATGTAGCAACGTTCACAGTAATATGCATGTATGCCACAGTCTTTACATCGGAAAATTGTATCCAAACTCTTTTTTTTTCACACATTCTACAAACAAATGAAGCTGGGTAGTGCATCTCAATGGTTGTTCTTCTTAATTTTTTCGAATACCTTTCAACGACTTAAACATTTTTTAGATGTTTCATATTTTTTTTTTGGAATGTTGAATAGCTGTTAGAATAAAAAAATAATCCATAAATATATTAAAGAACACTTCATTTTAACTTATCATTTTTAAAGCATGGTATGTGGGTCTATAAACCATGTAAAATACACAAACTACTGGCACTCATATTTTACATTTCAGGTAATCATTATTTACATAGCTGCTTAGTTCTTGCATAGTGTTAATACTATGCGAGAAGGTGTCAGCTATTTTCATACTATGCGAGAAGGTGCCAATAAAATCTGAATTATATGCGAGAAGGTGCCAACTATTTTCATACTATGCGAGAAGGTGCCAATAAAATCTGAATTCTATGCGACAAGGTGCCAGCACTTTTCATACTATGCGAGAAGTTGCCAATACACTCAGAGTTCTATGGGACAAGATGCCAGCTATTTTGATCTGTGCAGCAGAGATGTTGTGATCGTTCAACTTCTTTAACAGTTCTTGGCCGCGATGTGCTTAAAAACATCAAATATGGCGACTGCTTGCTGGGTCTCTGGAAGTTGAAGCCTCGTCCTGGTTGCATTCACGTACGGTATAATGATGTTATCGACGTATCGCATCATGGAATTATGATTTGACCAATGACTTTCTGTGTGGAAAACATCCCAAGCATCGGGAAAGTTGTAGCCCGGGTGACAACGATCCGTTTTCCCCTGATATAATATCTGAGGTGGTAAAAAATCACCTGAAGCAGTCGATGCAAACAATGCAGTAATTTGCCGCTTGTCATTGAGTCCTGCTATCGTGACTTGACGTGATCCTTGTTCTTCCATTGTCCACTCGCCTGCTGGAATTATCGCAACACCGGTTTGGTCCCAGTTTATAACAAGCTCTTGAGGAACATCGTGTTCTTTAACAGTCTTGGTTACCGGGAAGGTTCAGGGAAAGCTGCTTCAACGGCGGGAAAGTCATCAACAATTTTTTTGACAGCTTTTGTACCTTTTCTCTTAACGTAACCCATGCGATGAAGCAGCGATTTTGTCCAGTCTACGGTCAAGTTGATGTGACCTCCAAACTCTTGTAGTAAATTTCGATTTCCATGTAGAAGTATACCTCGACCGATTGCAATACAAACGGCTGAATTAACAACACCGCTTGATGCGTAGCCGTGGTACAAGTAACTGTACCTTGGAGTCTAGTTCACTACCGAGCAGTCTGGCACGTCCCCTTGTTGTCGGCAATGTGTTGACATTTTCTTTGCCACTCCGAATTGCTTTGAGATACGATTGTTTCATTCCTCGAACCCTGCTCTCACCAACATGCCTACCAAGTTCTTTAGTGAATTTTCTAGCAGCATTCATCACTCCATTGTTTACTGCATATTTGCCGATTTTAGCTCGAATATTTTCATCATAGTGCTGATAATTTCTGCGTTTTCGTTTCCGACTAGCGGATGTTATCTCTTCATTGACAACGGTAACTACTTCAGGTGACAGTTCGCACTGTTCGACGTCGTTGATGTTATTAGGATTGAGCAAGTTTGGTTCACTTGGTGACAGTAATGGTGCTTTTTTCAACCATTTTATGAGATCGGTAGCCATGTTGTAGTGTCGGTAAATTGCAAACGATGATTCATGTACGTGTACTACACAGGAGACTGATTTTGGGGGAGAAACAAGCCCACTTTTATACACTCATTTCTCTCATGTCACAGCTTCGCACGAGCCATGTATTGTTTAATATCAAATTTACAAGTGCGAAATACATAATAGTCTGAGTGCATACGATCGTCTGACACTGTGTTGATTCCATTGTATTTGTTTTGCCACATACGCATTGTTTACAAAGTGGGACGGAAATGGGCAAGATGTTTCCTGCTTAGTTAGATAAATATAAAACCTCTGTCGCGGAATTTAAAACACCGCTAAGCTGTCCGAAATTAGGAATGCGTGATTTTTTAACACCGCAAAAATTAACCTCCTTACAGTACTACTCAGGCATCAAATAAACAGATGGGATTGTTTTTTTGTTCTGTTTTTGCTCATTTGCATATCAACAATGAAAATATTTTCAAAGTAAACTACAGTATGATAACTCAATATCAATGAAAGTAAACCTTCAGAAATGTGGATTTATGTATAATGATGAAACTTACATGTACATATTTAACATACTCAAACATAAACTCTCAGAAGTTGGTTTACTCTGCTTTATGAATAATATTGTACTATACAGATGTTGTTGTCTTTCAATAACTCTGTTTTGTTGATATGAAGGTGGATTCCCAGGCCAATAATATTCGACGTTTACAAAGAACTGTGGATGAAATACAGGAACAGAATGAAGCGTACACTGTACAGGTTGAGCACCTGCAAAATAGGTAATACACAAATCGAATAATTTATTTTATTCTTGAAGGATGTTGATCATCATGACAGTGTTTGTTCAATTTGAATCCCATATTGTGGTAACCTTGTACGTCAATTGTTTATTTCTTTGTGTGGGATATATTCCAAAATGGGAACATGTGTTTCAAGTTGATTTGTCCATTCAACGTCATTTCTAATGCCTTGATCTATTTTATTCAAAATTGGTACCATAACAAGTCATAATTTGGTTTTTTAGTCCTTATTTGGAAAATGGGTATTTATGGTTTACTGTCTGTGCAGGCTTCCCTCGACCAATTCATCAAATTTTACACATAGCTAGTATCTTATCAGGAGCATATACATTTTCTTGATTTTGTGATCTGATCAAAGATGGTTGACTGCTAGCCATTTTTATTATCTGAAAATGCACTAAAATGTATCAAACTTGGTATGAACGTTGTACACGTTGGGTTCTGTTGTATGTCCAATTTTCCTATATTTTGATTCAAAATGGCCGATTAGCAGCTGTGCTGTGTTCTGTCCATTCATCTATCTGATGTCATTACACAGGCATGCCTGGACCAATTATGTTGGTACAAAACTAGACATACCGCTAATCATATACATGTATACATCTTAGAATACAATACTGTATCTAATATTATTTCAAAGGTCACAGAATGCCTTTATCTTTGTCAAGCATTGATGTGATAAATTTAACTATGAAAACATCTTGTTTTTGTCACACAGATTACGTCGCCAAGCAAATACAGCAGTACTTTTCAAGAAACGACCATCAAAACCTTACGATGCTAATGACACATCAGTAATGGTATCAGATGACGATTATGATGATTGATCATTTCTTTGCCGCCCTTCTATCTTTCACATGTATGCAGCCGATCAGTGCAAATTGTAATGTGTAATGTATGTTGTCTGTGTGTCACTGGCAACAATATACCTTTATTATTTGTTACTGGTATTTCACTGATTGGGGGGGGGGGTCGAGGGAGTGCCAGGAAGGAGGGTCATGGGAGTGTCGGGAAGGGGGGTGTCAAATTGTACCATGTCACATGATATTAGTATAGTATTATAAGTCACATGATATTTGTAATCTACGTAATTTCTGATAGTCTGAAACTGTCAGTCATTTACATATATTAAAGTGCCTGTGAAATGGCTGCTATTTTCACGCCTAAAATTATCCATTGATACATAAATATTATTAATTTTTATGTTTCTAAGCATGAATTATTTTTTAAGTGAAAAAATGTGTTTTAAACTCAATCTACGGCAACTTTATTTTTGTGTATTTTAAAACGAGGCTCCTCATTAGCTTCTTATTTGCATACAGAAATTCCCCTTGTGACGTCAGAAGGGGAAGTCGCATAGCAGCTTGCATTGCCGATACGTGTAAATAAGGCAAATTTCTTCTGCAGTTTTCTCGTCTTTGACTAAATTTTCACTTATGTACTTTTTCGTCGAGAAGGAATGGACAATAATGAACACATAGTATCAATTTTTACCTTGCCCGTACCATCAAAGATGGAAGGGAAAGGTATATTAAGGGAAAATATTTGTCCGGCGTTGTCGTCGTCGTCGTTGTCGTCGTCGTTAATAATTGTTATTGTGTGCATGATAACTTTACTAA